CCGTTTTCAGGCTGGCGGGCGACTGAAGCTCCCAGCCTCTCCTTTTTTTCTTTTCTTTTTTTATTCTAGGATTTATTTACCTTCTACAATTGAAACACTGTTGCTTCCGGAGCTCAAAGCCCGGCCATGGCAGGCAGGGAACCTTGGCTTCCTCCATCACTGGAGCAAGCAAGCCTCCTGCTCGCTTCAGCTGCGTGGCTGCTGGCCGCCATTTTTGTTGGCAGTTAATTTGCATATCGCCCTGATTAGCCAATGGGAAGCGTAGCGGAGGTATGGTTAATTACCCTTTTTGTCTTTTATTAGATAGGATGATATTGTCTATGCCAGCCATGGGCAAACTACGGCCTGCGGGCCGGATCCAGCCCGTTTGAAATGAATAAAATTAAAAAAAAAAAGACTGTACCTTTTTATGCAATGATGTTTACTTTGAATTTATATTAGTTCACACAAACACTCCATCCATGCTTTTGTTCCGGCCCTCCGGTCCAGTTTAAGAATCCATTGTGGCCCTTGAGTCAAAAAGTTTGCCCACACCTGGTCTATGCTGTACTTTGCAACCCTGTGACTGTTTTTATAACTGGCAATCTGTACATCTTAATCCCTTCCCTTTTTCACCCATTCTCTTAGCCCCCCTCCCATCTGGAAGCCATCAAAATGTTCTCTGTATCTATGATTTTGTTTCTATCTTCTCTGTTCATTTATTTTGTTTTTTAGATTCCACATATCAGTGAAATCATATGGTATTTGTCTTTCTCTGTCTGGCTTATTTCACATAGCAAAATACCCTCTAGGTTCATCCATGTAGTCGCATATGTCAAGATTTCATTCTTCTTTTTGTCTACTATTCCATTGTATATATGTACCATGTCTTCTTTATCCATTCGTTTATCAAAGGACACTTAGGTTGCTTCTATATCTTGGCTATCGTAAGTAATGCTGTAATGAACATAGGGGAGCATATGTCTTTTTGAATTAGTATTTTGGAAATCTTCAGGTGAATACCCAGAATTGCTAAGACATATGTAAGTCCTAGTTTTATAGTAGTTTTGAGCAACTTCCATACTGTTTTCCATAATGGCTGCAGCAATTTGCAATCCCACCAGCAGTGCACAAGTGTTCCCTTTTCTCCACATCCTCACCAACACTTATTTGTTTTTGTTTACTTATTAATAGCAATTCTGGCAGTTGTGAGGTGATCTCTCATTGGGTTTAAATTTGCATTTCCCTGATGATTAGTAGTGTTGAGCATCTATTGGCCATCTGTATGTCCTCATTGGAGAAATGTCTATTCAGGTCTTCTGCTATTTTTTAATTTATTGTTTATTTTTTTATGTTAAGTAGTATGAGTTCCTCATATATTTGGGATATTAACTCCTTACTGAATGTATCATTTCCAAATGCCTTCTTCCACTCAACAGGTAGTCTTTTCGTTGCTAATGGTTTCTTCATTGTGCAAAACTCTTTAGTTTGATATAGTCTCATTGGGTTTTTTTGTTTCCCTTGTCTGAGGAGACATATCTAATAACTGTATTTATTACTATCGATGTTAAAATTTTTACTGCCTACGTTATTACTCCAGGAGTTTTATGGGTTCAGGTCTTACATCTTTAATCCATTTTTAGTTTATTCTTGTATAGGGTGTAAGAAAATGATCCAGTTTCTTTCTTTGGCATGCGTATGTTCAGTTTTCTCAACACCATTTATTAAAAAGACTGTCTTTATCCCACTGTATATTCTTGCCTCCTTTTCATAGATTAATTGACCATGTAGGTGTGGGTTTATTTCTGGGTTCTCTATTTTGTTTCATTGAACTTTATGTATGTTTTTATACTAGTACTATGCTGTTTTGATTATTATAGTCTTGTAGTATACTTTAATATCAGGTAGAGTGATACCTCCAACTTTATTCTTCTTTCTCAATACCACTTTAGATATTTGGGGTCTTTGTGGTTCCTATCCTCCATGTGCCATTAGCAAGGTAAAGATAATTCTATTTCTCCTAAAATGTTGTGGGAGAAAAAAAGATGAGCTTCCTAAATATATTCTCTGTTTTGTTTTTTTTAAATATATTTTATTGATTTTTTACAGAGAGGAAGGGAGAGAGATAGATAGTTAGAAACATCGATGAGAGAGAAACATCGATCAGCCGCCTCCTGCACATCTCCTACTGGGGATGTGCCCGCATCCCAGGTACATGCCCTTGACTGGAATCGAACCTGGGACCTTTCAGTCCGCAGGCCGACGCTCTATCCACTGAGCCAAACCAGTTTCGGCGATATTCTCTGTTTTATTTAGGAAAGATCAGTATTAACTTTCAGAAAACCTGTTTTTTTTTAATTATCTTGCACTTTTTTTCCTTTTTTAAAATTAAATTTATTGGGGTCACATTGGTTAGTAAGATTATATAGGTTTCAAATACAGATTTCTATAATATATGATCTATATATTGCATTGTGGGTCCACCACACAAAGTCAAATCTTCTGTCACCATATATTTAAAAACTTTTTAAATATTCAATTGATGCTCAAATAATTATAGTAAATAATTAAAATGAACATTTAATGTTCCCCTAAGATATATAGTGTCCTTGAATTCTTAATAGCTGAAAATATAAAATTTTAACAGTCTTTTTAAAATAGAGTCTTCTTTCAAAAGTGTTTTATTTTTCTTTGCATTTGAGAACAGGGCTTTGAAAAATCTAGTCACATTCCTTAAGATCCCTGGATTCTCCTTCAAGCAATCTATAATAATAAAAGCATAATATGCTAATTAGACAGGACATCCTTTGGGATGAAGCCGGGGCTGCAGGTCCCTGGAGCCTGCCGGCAGCCGGAGGGAAGCCCGGATCCTGGGTGCCAGAGGGAAGCCGGTGCCAGCAGCCAGGGGAAGGAAGGCCTACTCTTGCACGAATTTCATGCATCGGGCTTCTAGTATGTACATAAACAGCTACTCTGCAAACAGTATTTTGACAATATTTACTGCCCAATTTCTCATACCCTCACTTTTCTCTACTATAATTTGCCATCAACTAACCAACTCTCTAAACTGTCAAAACTATTTTGAATTATAATCCTAAATTCTAAAATTAGTTAATCTCCAAGATCACTGATGAAAATTCTGTATAAGAGCCCCAGATCACTCCTATACAGGACTGGTGGAAGTTTAAATAAGATAACCATTCAGGAGAATAATTCCTTAATATGTATCAAACACCTTCAAGTATTTATCCCCTTTGGTCCAGAATAGGTTCTAACATTTTAATTTAAGATTTTATCTTAAAGAAACGATCAGAGCTATGTACAAAACTTCATGCTCATAGATCATCTTATAGGATAATTTATAATTAACAAAAAATCCCACCAAAACCTAAAACAAAACCTATCACCAGTTTGAATATCTAACAATAGATACATTCATTAAATTATGACCTATTATACAATTCAATTGAAAATGTTTTTGAAAACATTTCAAAGTATGTGAACATATTTCCCACATGATGTTAACTGCAGAGTTAAACATAAGCATAAACGCAGTAAAATTGGACATTTGAGGGAAAATATCTACAGAGATTGAAATATTGATAGATTTAGAAACAGTTGGGAAGGACGGATGGGGAGAAAGAAGAGGAAGAGGGAAGGGGGAAGGAGAAAGGTAAACTAGAGTTACTTACCAAAATACAAATGATACATTGACTATGAGTTGAAGAAGTCTAATCTTATGTTCTTGTGTATACTTTTCTATAGTTTCCAAGTATTTCACAATGAACCTTATAAAACATATTACATAAGACATAAAAATGTCTTAATACTAATCCTACAGAAATATTCTCTATTCTATTTTTCGAAGTAAAAATTATAGGAAAAATGAAGACAGGATTTTAATAAAGCCCCAGAACTTTACACCAATCATTTTATGGCTGTGATAAGAAGCTCTAGCCCATAGAGCTCATGTCCTGAATTCTGAGATGTCCTTTAACTATAAAACACAACATCAGTCCAACAGCAGCTTGGGAAATAACAGTACATTAAACATACTCAAATATGTTAACCTAGCAACAAAGTCCTTTCAAAATTGAGCAAACATAGTCAGTAAAATGAGAATTTTGTCTCCCAAATTCTCTAATCTCCCTTCCTGATCAGATTTCCCCAAAGTCTACTAAGTTTGTGAAGTTCAGAGCTCTCCATGTTCACAAGTAGAGCTGTGTACAAAACTTTATTCCCATAGATAATCTTTAGAATAATTACCAAAAAATCGTTCAGATGTGTTTGGTGTTTCTTCAACTAATTCAAAGCACACAATATGTTTTGGAGGTGGGCACAAAGCTTTCCAATATGCCCAAGCAGCAAGCTACTCGCCACCACAGCCCTGAAGCAGGAGCACTGACTGGCTTGTAGTAAGAACTCTACTAAGTACCGGAATGAGTGAATAAATGAATGAGCATATCAATGTAGGTCAGGCAGTCACAGATAGCTGCTTGACCAGTTCTTAATCCTGGCTCTCATCAGTAAATCTCTGTAGATTACATACTAGGGAGAATGGCATTGGAGGGGGAATGGATTGGGCGGGGAATTTAATTAGTTAACCTAAAGGTCTCATGTCTCCTTCACTGTAGGGAGCGGCTATAGGGTTAAGCCTCAGACTGACCTGTTGGCACAGCCAAAAACAAGTCACAGCTTAGAGGGCACAGCTCTCTTAGCATAATTAAGCTTGACCTTAAAATGCTCCCTAGATCTTACCTGGGTAGCTAATGGGCTGTGGGAGGTGCAAGTGCTGCCAAAACAAGTGAAACTCACAAGAACATTGTAACTATGGTGACCACTGCCTTGTTTACCTCTGGCTATAAAATAAAGGCTCAGCTTGCCTGGGTTTCTCTCTGTGGCCTCAGCCAGGCACAGGAGGTCCACAGAGCCCCAGCTTGTTCTCTTTGTCTTTTCTACATCCTTCGCTGCCCCCCCTCCCCGCCCTCACCCCAGGCTCACCGAACCCTTGGCTGTGCTGGCCCGGCACACTTCACTTTGTGATGTGTCCTTCCTTGACTACTTCCAGTGATTATACTCCCTCTAAACTTATGCCTTTCTACAGTATAACTTTAAACTTTCATCCAAACAATTTCTGAGTAAAGAAAATATATGAAATCTAGTTCATACAGAGGTTTATTAGGTCTGAGTTGGTAAACTATAAGGGAGAAAGCCAGATTTTACTTCATTGTGAACCCTACAATAAATACAGTAATTGCCTTCTCCCTCAAAGCAAGAAACTGAAGAACATTGACTGAACATTACCTAAGTCACTGAGATAAATATGATGAGGACAAGAGTCTATGAGGAAGTCCTCATATACCATGGTGACGGAATGTGCATTTATCAGATATTGGTCTGGGGCACAGCAAAGCTCTGAGAATGCCAGAAAAGTAAGTTATTATTAAGATTTTTTTAGAGAATTAGTTTTAGTAAACATACAGAGTCTAACATACAATTTTTGGATTAGATCCAGCTGACAAACCCCCGATTATTGGTATAGTTTCAATAATACTGTATTGTGAAGTGCTCAGCAGATTAACATCATGTGAAATTTTAAATTGAAAAATCAGGAGTTAGTCAAGATTTCAAAACTCTCCACTTGAATTATTAAGGTGGCCTTTAAATGCCTTTTCAGCAAAGAAAGTCTGAGCATGACAAGAGGCTAGTAAGGATAAAAAAGATGCTTGTTTTATTATTTCTTTCTGTTTCATTTCCCTCAAAACAGGCCAATTAACTATCATTTTCCTCTTTTTGAAAGTTAACTAATCACAGATTTTAATTGTCTATAGAGTCTCTTAACACTGCTTTCTTTAAAAAAAAAAATATTTTATTGATTTCAGAGAGGAAGGGAGAGGGAGAGAGAATAATTGATTGGCTGCTTCCTGCATGCCCCCTACTGGGGATCAAGCCTGCAACCCAAGCAGGTGCCCTGATTGGAATCTAACCCTGATCTCCTGGTTCATAAATCAATGCACAACCACTGAGCCACACCAGCAGGGCAACACTGCTTTATTTTTACACAAACTCCCACCCCTCACCTTTTGATTCCTAAATACTTCTTTTTTTGGCATATTAAGTATTTTCTCTGGATTCTGGCAAGTTAACTAGTGAAGAATTTCACACAGGAAGACACATCAAACACATTTTATAAATCAGCAAATAGTACACTGATTCAGAAATACAGAGTCACATATGTACAGCACAGCAGCAATCATTTTCCACTATGTAAGTCCCACAGGAAGAAAGGAGACCTGACACCTACTATTTGCACATATTTTTTTTAAATAATTTGAAAGAATTACAGGTGTTTCCTAGTTAAACTACTAGTATTTCATACAGTGATGTGGACATAATACTCATCACCAAAACAAGTTATATTGTTCTTTAGGGCACAAAAAATTATCTGATAATCAACCCAACTTAAATCT